GTAAGCCTGACAGTGAGGGGTGGGGCCTGTGGGATGGGCTGTTTGGAGGGAGGAGCCTTTGATGGGTGGGGCCTGTGGTGGGTGGAGTCTGAGAGGTTGCGCGTGTGAAGGGGTGGAGTCAGTCGTAGGTGGGGTCTATGAAGGGTGGGGCATCTGGTGGATGTGTTCTGTTAGGGTGGAGTCTTTGAGAGGTGTGGATTATGATAGGTGGAGCAAGTGGGATTGGCTCTTTAGAGGGAGGAGCCTTTTTAGGATGAGGTTTGTGAGAGGTGGAGCTTGTGAAAGGGTGGCGCCAGTAGTCTATAAAGGGTGGGGTATCTGGTGGATTTGTTCTGTTAGGGTGGAGTCTTTGCTGAGGAGCCTTTAAAGAGGTAGGACCTGTTGTGTGTGAGGTGAATTTATATGAGGGATGGAAATTGTGGTGGGTGAGGTCGTTGAGGGATGGAAGGTGGGGTCTTATGGTAGGTGGGATCTTTGAGAGGTGTGGTTGGTGAGGGATGGGGCTTGTGGCATGGGCTCTTTGGAGGGGGATCCTATGCTCTGTTGGGCGTGGATTCTTGTGGGTGTAGTCTCCGAAATGTGGGGTCTGGGGGTGGAGTCTGTTGGACTTGGTCTTCTGTGGAGGAGTCTTTCATAGGTGGAGCCTGTGGAGGGTGGTGTCTGAGAGGTTGAGTTTGTGAAGGGGTGGGTCCAGTCATAGATGGGCCTGTAAAGGGTGGGACATCTGGTGGATGTGTTCTGTTATGGTGCGGCCTTTGAGAGGTGTGGATTATAAAAGATGGAGCAAGCAGGATTGGCTCTTTGGAGGGAGGAGCTTTTGAAAGATGAAGCCTGTGGTGGGTGGAGCCCGTCATGAATGGTGGGGCATCTGGTGGATGTGTTCTGTTAGGGTAGAGTCTTTGAAAGGTGATGGGTTGAGTCTTAAATTTAAATGTGAATTTATATGATGCATGGAGCTTAGGTGTAGTCTGTGAGTTGTGGAGCCTTTAGGGAGGAGCCTTTAAAAGGTGGGGCCTGTGGTGGGTTGAATCTATGAAAAGTGACTATGTGAAGGGTGGAGTCAGCAGTAGGGGGAGTCATTGATGGGATGGGTTCTGTGGTGGGTGTGGTCTGTGAGGGGTGGGGGCTTTGGGGAGGAGGCTCTGAAAGGTGGATCTGTTATGGGTGGGGTTTTTGAGATGTCTAAAAACTCTGCCATATGCTTTGCTTTCGAAATGCATCAGGACTAGGCATTAGCGTTTACCCTACAAATGTAATGTGATGTCCAAATGTGGTTTTACAAAACATTTTAGACAAAATTTTCTCCTATATTTCGCTCAGATCAGTTGATTAGCTCAGTTTGTTCAAGTAACCTGACAAAACCAATGGCAGGTAATGGGACGGAAAAGTGGAAACGTGTTTGGAGACAGTCATTATGCTGCTCTCTTTTATGACCATTGAACATCTACAGAGAAACTGGTATAGCTAATTTTTTATATTGCTGTTGTAGGTTGAGGTGAATGTTAAACTGGCACAGGTATCCCAAGGTGTGTCCGTCTGTGTATTCAGTGGGGAGGTTCTCGTTAACTGAAGATCTGTGTTATTTCACAGGAAAGAGCAGCAGACATTCTGCCCAAATTAACCTCCGCATGCACATGAATATTCATCACCGAAGCCACACAGCAGCCACTCAGGAGAGCAGAGTGCTGAAAGGACTATAAATATGCTAATTTATGTCTGTCCCCTCAGATCCAGCATAGAGACCAGGACAGTGAGATGATGTGTGTGTGTTCAGTTGTTCATGTGTGTGCTTGTGTGTGTGTGATGCATGCTAATCAGACACTTTGAGCCAATGGTCTTGTAGTATTACTGCTGTGGATGAGGCGAGATTTCCCAGTGCATCATCGCATGATAAAGGGACAAACTGGACTGACGTGTCCTTTCACCCAGAGAACCCTGATGGATATCTGATTGAAGTGAATACATGCATTTTTGGAGGGGCCTTGGAGTAAAAAAGGTTGAGAACCACTGGCTTAGACAAATGTTTCACATGCTGAGAATGCTAACCTAACATATAAGTATATAAACCATAAATGTTTAAGAATCACTAACTCTGATGGGCGATTCATGATCAGGTAGATCTTAAACCGCACGTTCATGCCAGAAAACTACTAATTGGCCAAAAGGCTTCGTTTGACTTTTTCGTGGAGATCATCTACTCTTCCCTGTGAATTACCTCTGACCTACTTTCTGTACGATCTGAATTTCTGTGTATTGAATTTTAGAGTATTGAGTTTGATGTTCCGAATTTCCTCTTCATCTTTGAAAACTTGAAGCTGTGTTTTTTTAAAACTGGATATTTGCATTCTAAGATTTCAGAACAAAAAAATAAATAATAATAATTCAAGTTCAAAATAATCTAATTCTGTACTATGTTAAATGCCACATAATGTTGAGTTTTGTTAAATGACACTTGTCGATAATTCAAATTTACACAATACAAATTCAATTAGTTTTGTCATATTATAAGCTCCATATTGTTTCTGTTTAAATGTTTTTCACCTTTCTGCTACAAAATTGTTACATTTCACCATAATTGATGCAAAGAAAAGAAGAGTGGAATCCAGTTAAGGCCTCCATTGATGATGTGTCTCTTCCTTTCAAGTGGGGAAATTGTGCACAAAAATAAATAACTTGACAAGGGTATAAATTGGTGATGTAGAGTCTGATTCGATTATGTCCTTTGCAATGTTTTATGAGACTGAACGATCACTGTTACTCTGCTGTCAAGATTCCCAGAGTGACAGCGTCTCTGATTGGTGGATCCTGCTTGAGGATTATGGGTAGTGTAGTGTGTAGTTCTCAATCTTCAGTTTTGGTCCTCATGTTATCTCTGTCTCGAGCGGTTTATATGTTATTGCTGAATCAATTTCTCTGTGGAAGAAGCAAATGGGACTTTTACTTCCAGAGCCCTGCTGCTGCTGCTGCGCTCTATTATGGAGAGTTTGTTAGAAATATTTCTTGATATTCATGATGAAGGGGACCGTGTAAAACCGAATGACAACAGCGGAGGTGATGAGTTTGATTAATTCACGAGCGAGGGTCTTATTAGAGCCACACATCTCCTCCCTCCATGGGGTCTGAGATTAAATGGATAATTCTTGTAATCAGGCGTTCTATTCATGCTAATAATGAGATAATGACAGTCTCTTGTTAGTAGTTTTCATACTCGGCTGTGTTAGTTTGATCTGTAGACGTCTGATTGCTTTCTCTAATAAGAGACTAAACCGAAACACTTACAAAACTGTGAGTGTGTTTATATGTTGATGTTCAACCCCAAAATCTCATCTCATGATATGAGTAATTCTGTATTCTATATAATGGAGTCTACTCAATTCTTTTGAAAGAGTCTCTTTTTCTCACCAAGGCTGCATTTATTTGATCAAAAGTACAATACAAAATTGTGAAATATTATTAGAATTCAAACTAGCTGTTTTTTTCTGTGAATATATGTTAAAATGTAATTTATTTCTGTAATCAAAGCTGTATTTTCAGCATCATTACTCCAGTCTTCAGTGTCACATGATCTTCAGAAATCAGTATAATATGCTGATCTGCTGCTCGAGAAACCTTTCTAGTTATTATCAATGCTGAAAACAGTTTCACTTTTTTTTTCAAAGAACAGCATTTATTTCAAATAGAAAGCTTTTGTAACATTATTAATGTCTTTACTCTAACTTTCGATCAATTGAATGCACTCTTGCTGAATAAAAGTTTTCATTTCTTTTAAAAAGCGTCCCATCTAGGAGGGTGTTGATATGTCAAGTGATTGACAGGTGGCAGCTGCTATTTATAATTAAATGGGCGGGGCACTGTCCCTCAAGGGACATTTTATTGGCCAGACATTTAGCCACGCCCTCTTCAGATGCTGACGCTGTCTATATTTCTGGTCCACTTTCCCAGATGAGGCAGACTGTAAATTATAAAAGTCTATATGTGCTGTTTTGTCTCCGTTTGAAGTGCACTAGCAGAGCTCTGGACCTGTGGCCACTGTACTCTCTCTCTCTCTCTCTCACACACACACACACACACACACACACACACATAAATGAAGGCATATATCTGGATTTGTTGTGTGAGATGTGAGGCGTAGAGGTCATGACCTCTGTGAGCGGAGCAGGCCGGCCGTAGGTTGGTTTGCGGTTAATAACTCGACCTTCCGAATAGCCTTATAAATCACATCACATGCTTTTAAATCTTTTTTATTTCTTAGACACGACTGTTATAAATCATACAATGGACAACAGCAGCAGCACTGATGTTCACAAACCTGAACAAACACATGACTCTGTGTTGAACATAAATTAAAGGGATGGTTCACCCAAAAATCCTTGTGTGGCTCCAAACCTCTAAGCCTTATATCTACAAAATATATATGAAAGATGAATGTTTTTGTCCAAACAATGAAAGTCAATGGAGTCCAACATTGGATTCTGATGACTTTTTCTATATGGACAAAATACACTGAGAAGGTTTTCAAAAGTATCATCTTTTGTGTTTCACATTAAAGAAAGTCAAACACTTTTGGAATAACATGAGGGTTTATAAAATTACATAGTTTTCAATATTGACTGCTATCTCTTTAAACAGAAATGCATTAGTAATAGCTGTTCAAATCTAAAGCTGCGAAGCATTATTTTGTGTATTTGGTGTAATGAAATGTGTTTATGTGGTTTAAAGTTAAAAAAACATTATTTTCCACATACTGTACATTATTGTTTCTCCTCTATGCCCCGCCTTTCTGAAACGCGTCGATTTTTACAAAGCTCATCGTTCTGAAAAAGCGAGGTGTGGCCAATTTATCCTCTCATGTCTTATGAATAATTATAAAATTGTTTTGCATCCAACAAGAGCTGAATAAACCAAAAAAATAACACAAGATTAAGTACTTTTCATTTCTAAAGTATTTCAGTAACTGAATCAGCCGAAAAATACATTATTGCATGGGTATCTACTACAGG